ACTATATGCAGGAAGATAGGATGGGAATTATACTATACAAATGGGAAAAATGGAAAACTCAGGAATGAAAGAGAAGTATCTAGAAAACTATAAATTAAGATACTATTGTGCCTCGAGAGAGTATAGAACGTGCTAAGTGGAGGGAAAGGGGGAAGGGGGGCGGGAAAGGGCAGGGAGGGGAAAAAAAAGAAAAGATTTATTAGAAGGGGTAAGGTAGAAGTATGGGATGGATATTATATGTATTGTTACCTCTTCTTTTGAATTTTTTGTAATAATATGAAAAACTAATAAATAATTTAAATTAAAAAAAAAAAAAAAAAGAAAACGCTATTGTGGTGCCTTTGTCCACCACCAGGGTGGCACGAGGAGTGTGGCAGCAGTGCTGGAGGCCTCACACATTCTTCGGAGTGCAGAGCTCCTTATTCCGGTTTTCTCCACTGTGTAAAACAACATAATAAAAACACATTTACATATATACAGAATAAAAAAAAATTATTTATATATATATATATATTATATATATACTTTTTTTTTTTTTTTTTTTTAAAAAAACAAAAATCGCTTACATCAGCATAGAAAACCATAAACTGCCCTTTTTTCTGGAAAAAAAAAAAACAAAACAGAACCAAATATAGTTTAATATTATTATTATCTTTATAATGTATCTCAGCAAACCCGACCTTTACCTAAACACCCCCTAAGACCAAGAAGCAATGAAAAACATTTATCTCATGCATGCAGCCTTTTTCAAAAATCTGATCGTACAAAAATTTAGGGGACGGGACAGGACAGAAAGAAAAGCCACGCCCCCAGAGACTGACAGACAGCAGCTTTCTCCAATGTGTACTTTCCAGGTGTGGTGAACTGCCAGGCAGACTACCTCTGTCATCAGATGCTGGATCAGGGGGGAGTGATTCCCACATCAAGATTTGTTCTGACATATCTTTCTACACTGGGACACCCTGGACGTGGATCGCCTGGCGTTCTGCCTCTGTAGCACGGTGCCAAGGTTTTCGGGTGAAAGCAGGGGACCCCCTGGTGGATAAAATGGCTGCACTGGTGGCGCTGTGGGGTCAGTATTGTCTCATTTATGTTTCCCTCTCTCAGACTTCTTCCTCATCTGCTGCACAGGATAGAGGTCGAAGGGTTTCCAGTCATTCTGGTTGCTCTGGACTGGTCTCAACGACCCCTTTTTTAATGCCGCAATGGTGCGGCTGGTTGTGGATGCTTCCTGGTGGATGCTCCTTCTGGAAGATGTTTTGTTGCAGTACTAGTCTTCCACCCTACCTTGAAGTTTTTTAAAGCATGGCCATTGACAGCCTGGTTCTGAGAGACAAAGTGTTGTCAGGTTTGGTGATCCCTACAATGTTGAAGGCATGCAAGTCTCGACCTTGGGAAGATTAATCTTTGCATCTGGAAGGCTTATGTTGCTTGGAGAAAGGCTCTGGGTCTCTATCCACGCCTATTCTCAGCATCTCAGCTTCTGATCTTTGTTCAATCAGCATTGACAAGCAACTTGCCTTGAGTACTATTAAGGGCCAGGTTTCTTCCCTGACTATCTTCTTTCAATGTACTCATTGAGAGGCCAGGTTTCTGCTCTGGCAATTTTCTTTCACTGTATTCCTTTCACCCAAGGGGTTCATCATGTGGCACCCCCAATGCATACATGAACTTGGTTCTTTCAGACCTCCAGCAGCCACCAGTTGCAAGTATCCGAGTTATTTCCCTGTTTACTCCTGCTCACCAAGTCACCCTTCTGGTCGCCACCGTTTCCGCACGGTAAGTGTTGCGCTGGCAACCTTGTGTTTAAGGCCTTATACAGAAATTAGGTGGTTTTCCACCCACGTTCCCCTTCCTTTTGCAGGAGCTGTACGATGTCCACCTGCATGAAGACACTGTCTTACCTTCTCTGTGTCAACAGCCTTCGTACTCTGAGGTTGCAATGCACTCTGTAAAATTTTCTGAGACACATATAATACTTCTTCAGTGTCTATAGGCGATTTTTGCGAATAATTAAAGAGCCGGTGAAATAAGAAATAAGGCGTGTCACCATAATTTTCATGGCTGATTGTCCTTCATGTGCTCTTGTCTTGTTCAATGTAGTTGAGTCTGACCAAGTGACGAGTTCTTGTCTTAGAGAATGCACCTGTTCCAGCTTCTCAGCTTTGCTTGGGCTTGTCTGTGTGGATGGACAGACGCGTGTGTGTGCGTCCCCCCCGCATGTTTAAATGATATTATAAATTAAGAATGTATCTTTACAACATCTCAATAATATTGTATAACCAGAAATCTACATATGTAACAATATTACCAACTTATAAAACAAACTAAATACACACAGATACTATTAGAAGATATTATGTCATACTTATTCTATTTTGGTTTACTCCATGACATTCTACACTAGAGTCCTTTAACCAGCTATGCCCTTCTAGAGTCCTTTAACCAGCTGGTTAGTTCAGCTAACTCCTGTCTCAGCTTTTAACTGAAGAAATTAACACTATCACTGGTTCAAGACCATTCACACAATATTAATTATGATTAATCATAAAAAACACAAATATTTTGCAAGCTTGCCATCAATATAATATTAGTGCCGAATTATGAATTTGATATAAAGGTTTATTAAGTCCCCCTTATGATTATTCCAAATTAATTTATTAACCAATGCACACTTTATCCTTGGCCCACACACACAGCCTTGTACCAAATGACCGTATGTATTTTTCATAACTGGACCAACCAAAAATAACTTTCCTTCTAAACTCTGTTCACCTTTCTTTAGTTTCTCTTTCTATAAAAATACTTAATCATAATATATTGATTTTAAATATGATATATGATGCTAATAATAGTAATACAGTAATAATAATAATAAATGATATACCGTATTTTCCGGCATATAAGACGACTGGGCGTATAAGACGACCCCCTACTTTTCCTGTTAAAATATAGGGTTTGGGCTATACTCGCCGTATAAGACTACCCCTCTTCCAACGCACACCAAATAAAAATTAAAAAACATCAGGTTTGATTTCAATATGGTATGGTATTCCAATGATGGGGCACGATTCCTCGCTCTGACACCAATGATGGGGCACTATTCCTCCCCCTGATACCAATGATGGGGCACTATTCCTCCCCCTGATACCAATGATGGGGCACTATTCCTCCCACTAACACCAATGATGAGGCACTATTCCTCCCATTGACACCAATGGTGCCCCATCATTAGTGTCAGTGTGTGAGGAATAGTGTCCCATCATTGGTATCAGGGGGAGGAATAGTGCCCCATCATTGGTGTCAGTGGGAGGAATAGTGCCCCATCATTGGTGTCAGAGCGAGGAATTGTGCCCCCATCATTGGTGTCAGAGAGAAGAATCATGCCCCATCATTGGTGTCAGTGGGAGGAATAGCGCCCCATCATTGGTGTCAGTGGGAGGTATCGTGCCCCATCATTGGTGTCAGTGGGAGGAATCGTGCCCCATCATTGGTGTCAGTAGGAGGAATCGTTGCCCCATCATTGGTGTCAGAACAACGAATCGTGCCCCATCATTGGTGTCAGTGGGGGGAATAGCACCCCATCATTGGTGTCCGTGGGAGGAATCGTGCCCCATCATTGGTGTCAGTGGGAGGAATAGTGTCCCAACATTGGTGTCAGTGGGAGGAATAGTACCCCGTCAGTGGGGAGAGGAATAGTGCCCCATCGTTGGTGTCAGTGGGGGAGGAATAGTGCCCCATTGTTGGTGTCAGTGGGAGGAATAGTGCCCCATCATTGGTGTCAGTGGGAGGAATAATGCCCCATCATTAGTATCAGTGACACCAATGATGGGGCACTATTCCTCCCACTGACACCAATGACACTTGCTGACTCCTGTTGCCACCATTTAGTGCCGACCAGGTAGAGTCCCTGGTGTGGTTATTAGAGGATGATGTGGGTTACTTTCTGGAGCGTTATTCCACATGTTCACCACAGATACTAAGAGATTGTATAAACGCAGTGCAGTCATTGACCAGACAGGCTTTGTGTAAGCTCAGCTTTGTTCAACCCATACTGCAGACATGGACAGACTTGTTGCACCCAGCCTCAGTCAGCTTACAAAAACCCAGTCCTGCTTCTAATCTATCTCCTCAAAACTCTATTCCTGCATTCCCAACAGCTCCTCCTGCCCTGCTATCTACCGCATGTCAGTACCCTGTTCCCACTCGCTGCACCTATCCTGCCTTTAACCCTGTAAAAAAGCCCTCTGTAGCAACTGCTCCCTCTCCTGTTCCATCCTCCAGTTCTTCTCTGTCTCCAGCTGCTCCATTCGTTTGCAGACCTGCGTTTACTTGCAGTGCTCCAGTAGTTAAAACCAGAAAAAAGCGAAAATTCTTTCCAACCAATACCATCCTGCCAGTATCCAAACCGGTGAGCCTGCCGTCTGAGAACCTGCCTTCCGTGGTTCAGCCTGGTGCCTGTACCCAGCCTGGTGCCTCCACTCAGCCTGATGCCTCCACTCAGCCTGGTGCCTCCACTCAGCCTGGTGCCTCCACTCAGCCTGGTGCCTCCACTCAGCCTGGTGCCTCTACTCAGCCTGGTGCCTCTACTCAGCCTGATGAACTGATCCAGCCTGATGATCCTATTAGGCCAGTTGACTCGATACCCGCTGTTGATCCAGACGATCCAGTACCTGATCCAGTGCCCGCTGTCGTGCCAATTGACTCAGAGCCCCGCTGTCATACCTGGTGACTCGGTGCCCACTGCCTTGCCAGATGACGATAGGTGCCTGCTGGCGAGCCAAATGACCTGATGCCTGGTGACCCAGTGCCCGCTGTCATACCTGGTGACCCGATGCCCGCTGTCGAGCCAGACGATCCAATGCCTGGTGACCCGGTGCCCACTGCCTTGCCAGATGACGCGGTGCCGCTGGCAAGCCAAATGACCTGATGCCTGGTGACCCAGTGCCTGCTGTCATACCTGGTGACCCGATGCCCGCTGTCGAGCCAGACGATCCAATGCCTGGTGACCCGGTGCCCACTGCCTTGCCAGATGACGCGGTGCCCGCTGGCAAGCCAAATGACCTGATGCCTGGTGACCCAGTGCCTGCTGTCATACCTGGTGACCCGATGCCCGGCTGTCGAGCCAGACAATCCGGTACCTGATTGACCCGGTGCCCGCTTGACATTACCTGGTGACCCGATACCGCTCCGACCAACAATCCGGTACCTGATGACCCGGTGCCCGCTGTCAGTGCCAATTGACTCAGCCCCTGTCGACCTGGGGACTCGGTGCCCATTGCCTTGCCAGATGACGCGTGCCGCTGCGAGCCAAATACCTGATGCCTGGTACCCAGTTGCCCCTGTCATACCTGGATGACCCATGCCCACTGTCGAGCCCGACAATCCGGTAACCTGATGACCCGGTCGCCGCGTTTGCCAATTGACTCAGAGCCACAGTCCTGCCTGTTTGACTCAGCCCACTGCCTTGCCAGATACGCAGTCCCGCTATCATCCAAATGACCTGATGCCTGTGACACATGCCCACTGTCCACCAGACGATCCAATGTCTGACCCAGTGCCAGCGGTCATCCATTGACCTCGAGCCAACTGCGTGCCTGTAACTCGGGGCCTCCCCTCCCGCCTGGGGGCCCAGACCTGCCCCTCCGCCCGGGGGTTTCCCGGGGCCCTGCCGCCCGCCCGGGGGTCCGGCCCCCCGCCCTCCTCCCTTGGGGGTCCCGCCGCTCCCGGGGCCGGGGCCCCCCCCTGGGGGGCCTAACCTGTTCCCCTCCGCCTGAGGGGCCCCCAAAAACCCGTCCCCTCCGCCCGGGGGCCGGCGCCCGCACGCTCGGCCTGAGGCCCGAGACCTGATCCCCTCCGCCTTTGGGGGTCCCCCCGGGGGCCCGCCCCGCTTTCCCCCTTGGGGGCCCGGGAAAAAAAAAAAAAACCTTGGCCCCCGCCTTTTTCCCCCTGGGGGGGTCCCCCGGGCGCCCGCCGCTCCCCCCTGAGGGGCCCGAGACCCTGTCGCCCCCGCCTGGGGGGCCCCCGGGGCCCCCCCCCGCTCCCCTGGGGCCCGAGACCTGTTTGCCCCCCCGCCTGGGGGCCCGGGGCCCCCCGCCCGCCTGAGGGCCCCAGACCCTGTCGCTCCCCTGGGGGTCCGGCCCCCCCTGCCCCCGCCTAGGGGCCCCAGACCTGTCGCCTCTCCCCTGGGGGTCCGGCGCCCGTCCCCGCCCGCCCCTGGGGCCCCGGGGGGCCCCGCCCCGCCCGGGGGGCCCCCTGCCCTTCGCCCCGCCTGGGGGGCCCCGGGGGCCTGCGCCCCGCCGGAAAAGGGCCCGGGGCCTGTCCCCCCCCCCGGGGGGCCCCCGGGGCCTGTCCCCCCCGGGCCCCGGGGGGCCCGGTTTTTTGTCGCCCCCCCCCGGGGCCCGGGTGGCCCCTTTTCGCCCCCCAACCCCCCCCGGGGGCCCGGGGCCTGCGCCCCCCCGGGGGCCCGGGGCCTGCGCCCCCCCGGGGGCCCCGCGCCTGCTGCT